ATCAGGCATCTTTGTGTCATTTCAACATATTCCTTGAGGTATAGCTCGTTTCCCCTCTGTTTTCAAGCTTGTAATCCCTTTTTGCTTCATTGGAGTCCTTCTTGGGCTCTTCCCCAAGCTTGTTTGTGCTTTGTGGGTGATAATAAGTTGTTAGCCTTTAGATCTAGGCATGATTTAGTCCCTGGAGCTTGGATCTATTGCCTTTATGGGGTCATATTGCATGAAAGCCCTAGATCTACCTCTTTTGGTGCACTTTGAGCCTTAAAATCCATATTGGTGAATATCTACACGTAAAGTTGGAAACTTTACGTGTGAATTGTGTCCTAGAAGCCCAGATCTGTGAATGGCATGGACTGGAATCGAGCAAATCGGTGTATTTGATGGATGCATGGCTGCGACTCGGCGAGTCATATATGTGACTCGACGAGTCTGGTCGCGAGTCACTGAACTGGTCCCTTTAAGATGTATCGAGTTGAGCCGTGAGTCACAGGGGGTGACTCGGTGAGTTGGAAGCTGAACTCACTCATGATAGGACTCGGCGAGTCAATGCCCTGACTCGGCGAGTCCAAGGCAATCTTCATAGATCAAGAACAAACTCGGCGAGTTGTTCATACAACTCGGCGAGTCTTAGCATATGTGTTCTTCGGATGAAGATGAACTCGACGAGTTGTTCATACAACTCGGCGAGTAGGATGAAGGAGTTGAATGACAGTTTAGAAGATGAACTCGTCGAGTCATAGCCCAACTCGACGAGTAGAATCAGGGACCCAGGACAATAGTTTGCTAGGGACTCGGCGAGTGGAGATCCACTCGGCGAGTTGGGTCAACTAAAAGTTGACTTCGATTTGACTTAGGGCTAGACCAGGGGTAAAATGGTCTTTTTACCCAAAGGACAGTTAGCAGTGTATGATTAAGTATATTGTGGGAATTACAGCCGGGGAGTTTCCGGAGCAGCAGCAGCAGTAGTAGGTGATCAATTCCCACACAGACCAGCAGCTATTTCGAGGTGAGTTTCCTTCCAGTAGTAACGGGTCTAAGGCACCAAGGCCGGCCCGTATAGATGAGACGTTAGTATTATAGTGTGGGCCGAGCCCGTATCTATTAGTTGAGTTGATTGTGTTATATACCAGCATGATAGAACTGTTTACACTTGTTGTCTGTGCGATACTTGTATGATATGAGTTGGCGGTTGAGTGTGGGCGGGGCCCGTATCTCTCCGAGAATGGAGTGTGGGCTAGGCCCGTATCTCCCAGGTAGCGAAGTGTGGGCGGGGCCCGTATCTTCACGAGTGTGGGCGGGGCCCGTATCTCTCAGAAAGTGAGGTGTGGGCGGGGCCCGTATCTTCACGAGTGTGGGCGAGGCCCGTATCTCCTAATTGCATGTTATATGTTAAATGCTTGTATGGTATGGGGTATTATGGGGGGAGCTCACTAAGCTTTGTGCTTACGGTTTCAGTTTTGGTTTCAGGTACCTCCTCAGCTAGGGGAAAGGAGCCGGCGCGGTAGCAGCATGTCACACACACACCCTTCGGTTTCCGCATTTACGAGATTCACTGGGATTGTACTCTGATATTTGATGGGATGTATGGTTTGACTTTTAAAACATGGTTTGCGATGTGTTATGGTGTGATCAAACAATGTTTTTATTTATTAATGTTTTCTAAATTAATATTTTAAAAATAAAATTTTTGGACATGAAAATTGGGTCGTTACATTGGGTGTTTGAGTTTATTGTTTGACAGGGGAAGAGGCAACATCGAATGGGTGGTGGCGGGACGAACTCCAGCAGCAGCAAAAGCAGTGATTGAAGGTGTGTTTGATTGTTTGTTGTCGATGAAAAAAGAGGAGGATAGAGATGTTTGTGGTGGTGTTATGTGACCGGGATAGGCGGAGGTGAGTTGTCACCGTCGACTGCTCGTCATTTTCCCTCTCTTTGTCGGTGGTGTCAAGGGATGCAACAACCACCGGTTGGTGCTATTCCTTTTTGGTGAGCAAGGTTGAGACAAGGGATGCGAAAGTAAAGAAAGAAGAAGAGGATTGAGTGTGGGAAAATTTTGTCACTTGTACGATTGATTTAGAAAATATATTTGATTGATCTTTTATAACTTATGGAGGGATCGGAATAGTAGTTAGATAAATGGTAGCTTCAAATTGAAGCATTTGTTGCGCATTCAAAAAGTCTTTGTTGACTTTTTGATTGATATGTTGGAAAATTAGGCATGTGCCTAATACTTTGGTAATGACATTTTGATTCTCGATTCTCGTGCTGCTAATTCCCGAAATGTGAAATTTTTCTAAAAGTGCATGTTTGTTGTCTCGGTCGTTGTGATTTCAGAAACGCAGACAAAATTCAATTTTGATATACCAAACTCCGTGAATCTACAATTAAAATTCCGCGATTAATAGGATCTGATTCGATATATTTTACGAATCTGATTTTGGTTGAAGTTAAAAATATTATAAAAATATAATATAATAAGATAATAAATTGTAGTCTAAATTCTCTCTCTCTCATATATATATATATATATATATATATATATATATATATATATATATATATATATATATATATATATATATATATATGATGCAAAAAAAAAAAAAAAAAAAAAAATCAACGCCAGAAATAAATTAAAATTTTGGTGACTTTCGATTCGATCTACAATGATAGATGATACATGGGTTGAGCAGTTTGAGATGTTCTAAATGAAATTATAATATATATTATATTTAATATACATTATAAACATAAAATTACACAAAATTGGTTATTAATACCTAGCAGTTCATGGTGGTTTGACCGCCGAACTCTGACCAATTTTTACCAATTGTTACATGACCCAAGGGTATTTTAGATAATTTGAGTGGTCATTAATCGGTGCTTAGGTGACCAATCGAACTATCATTTGGAATTGTATTCTGCCAGAGATCTTTTCAGACCGAGAGATGAGTTTTCCTCACTATACTTGCGGGTTGAAAGCACCAAGGTCGACCCATTGGTTGATGGCATGTTCCATACCGTTGTTGATATGTTGAGCATGCGGTAGAACTGTATGATTATATGATAGCTGCTAACAGGTGTTAGGCTGGTAGGCCTGTAGAGTCGCCTGTGATTATAAGCAGTATGATTAGTTGTTGTTGAGTACACTTGTTGTTTATAATATGTCGATATGTTATGTGGGTTGAGACTACTGCTTTTTGGTGTTAGTCAATAGACCAATGCATTCCAACTGGGAGGTTGTGGGTCGGGGCATTCCAACTGTGAGGTTGTGGGCCAAGGTAATCCAACTGGGCGGTTGTAGACCAAATATGTAGTATGCAAGGCAATCCAATCAAGAGATTGTGGGCCAGGGTAATTCAACTTGGAGGTTGTCGACCCATCATGCTAATCTATGTAATTTATATTTTGTGTGATGGTACTTTGGGGGAACTCAGTAAGCTCTGGCTTACATATTTAGTTTATTGTTTCAGGTACTTCTGATTATCACGGGAAAGCGAAGACGTGATCGTGCACATCTTCCGGTTTTTGTGTTGTTGGGTCTTGGGAAAACTTTGATTTTGATTATTACTTTTGAAAAAATGGTTCTTTTGTAAACAATGATGATTTATGTTTGTTTTTAAAAGTTTTAAATTGTTATGATTTTTGGGATGTTGCAATATTTAAACCACCACAGTTTTTAATTTTCAGGTTTGGAACCCGATCTAACATGGTTCTACCACAAGTCCATCACAAAATCCTCATTTTTATGACCTCCATGTTCCTCTCATGATCCTTAGGCCAACATTCAGATCCACACAAAATAGTCGACTTTATAGCCAACATATAGAATTTTCCCTTAAGTTTCAAAGAGAACCTTCTTGTCAAACAAAACTTTAGTGGTGTCTCTCCACTTTATCCAGCCCACTTTTATATGGTGAGTGGCATCATCATCAATGCTCTCATCCTTATGGATTATAGACCCCAAGTACTTGAAATTATCATTCGATCATAGGACCTTCTCACCGATACACACTTATACCCTTTGTGTTCCCATTAAAAATGCACAAAATATAACCAATCTTAGTTGCATTGATCCTAAGCTCCCTTTCTTCCAACGATGTCTTTCATGTATTCAACCTAGTATTCAGCTCACTCCTAATCTCCGCAACCATTGCAATATCGTATACACCCTGTACCTCTCTTTGTACCTTACAAAATACCTGCAAAGATATAAGGGCTAAGCGTCGAACCTTGATGGAGTTTAATTCTTACATGGAAAGACAATATCACTTCTATCTTTCAAAATCAAACACATGTCATTGATCGACAATACATGTCGTGTATGAATCTAACACAACACCCCTGGTACCCTTCTATCTTTCAAAATCTTCCAAATCGGTGCCCTTTGGACAATGTCATAAAATGCTAGTATAAAAAGGACCTTTTTTATATAGTGACCAAAACTAACAAAAAGGCACCACCTAAACGTACTAAATCTCTCGTAGAAAAGAGTTACATGTATCCACGACAAATTGAAAATGATTTATTCTAAAATAGTAAAATGTACTTTTAAAAAAAATGACTAATTTATATAATGGTCAAAAGGCCTGAAAACCAATATAAGGCTCGACCCAAACATACCAAATCTTCCACACAAGGCTCTATCTTGCAGACATAGAGGGTACAAATGTAAACCAAAACTGTCATTGGTTCACTAAAATTGTATGTGCGTTCTGCTGACAAAAATACATCACTTGTCGACTAGAAAAGTTGATAGGCTTGGGGTTTGTACTGAATATTTATTTTTTGTAACTGAAACCTTATTAGAATTTTGATTTTAAAACCAAAGTTGAAAAATGATACCGACAAGCAGATAAAGGATCTAATTTATATAATGACCAAAATCAGCAAAAGGGCTCTGTCTAAACATTTGCATGTTTCCACTCCTCGTATTAAAAATATTATAGTAGAAAAGAATAATAAAAGGCAATCCCCAAAAGGAATAAAACTCATATAATGGCCAAAACCTACAAAAGGCTCAACACAAACATAGCAAATCTTTCAGAAAAAGGAGTTATATTTTTACACGACGTTTTTCACAAGGCTTATAATTAGAATACAAAGTATTTTTATTTGGTTTGAGGAAAGGTTTTAAAGGGGATTGAGAGGGTTTCCCTAATATCCCCATATGGAACTGAATATTTATGTAATGACCAAAACCGATAAAAAGGAACTGGATTTTTATATATCGACACCATATGATATGGAAACAACATATCTAGAGCTGATAGCTGATAGCTGATAGCCGATATGATATCCCATCCATCAAAATCAAGTCCCCAGAAACAAGAAAAGCACATTGCATTCACCAAATTCAATCATACATGAAAACCAAGAGACAAACAAAAACATTACAATCTTTTCAGACTTTTCTTTCTAGCATCAATCTTCTTCTTGTCCCCTTGTGCTTTCGCCAACCCACCTTCCTTCTTATGTGCTGCCGCCGCTGGTGGCGGTGCACCACCACCAGATCCGCTACTTACTCCCATCTCAACTATTGAGTTCAAGGCGGCGGTTGGCGGTTCCTGACCACTTGCTGCTTTCATGGTGTTCAATGAAGGAGCCAAGGGCGTAGGAGGCGGCACTACAGCTCCAGAGACAGCGGTTTTCGGGTCAACACTACAAACTGAGGTGTTTGTCTGGTCAACATTTAGAGCAGCAGTCGATTCCGATATTGCCCCTGTCTTGAACTTTGGTTTTGGCTTCAGAGCATGAATTCCAGTGTATAACCTGTCATGTGTTTTTAGTATCGAATCAAGATTTCTTGAATTTTAACTATTTAACTCATCATCATCATCATCATCATCAATAGTAATAATAATATAAAATCGAACCTTGCATGCCTAGCATATTCTTCATAGTTCTCAAGTAGCATTTTGCCAGCCTGTTCATTTAATGCGGATTCTGGAAATGGCTCAATCAGCAAGCATCTGACTACCTGCAACACATGAATGGAAAGATTTATAATCAAAGGTCCAAATTAGGAAGTAAAAAGAAAACACGAATCTAGAAACTTACAATTAGAACATGGCGTAACCCTAGACTAGGGTTCCAATCTCTTTTCAGTGTGTTCACACATATCTCACCATTCGTGGCAATGTTAGGATGGAAGATCTTGGTCAAAAAATAACCTACACAAAAAAGATAGGTTTTAAACATTCCCATACAACTAACTAACTAACCACATGAACAAATCTAAACACAAACAAACCTTTAGGAGGTGAATGGGGGAAGTCACGATTGAGAATCAATTTCATTCGGAAAACACCATTTTCGTATGGAGTGCCAGCTGTACATCCGGTATTCAGTTAGAACAAAGGAATATGTCTCTTGTGACATACATAATATACATATAACATCTATCTACCTGGGCCTTCAATATCAGCATATATTGTTGAAAAATCGTCATCGTTCACTCCTACTTTGATTCCTTCTGGTGGGATTTCATCAAGATTCTTCAATTCTCTAGCAAGTTGCTTGATTACATTTGGAGGAAGATTCTCGTTGGTAGCCTACAATAATTACACATTTAAGATTACAAAGAGGGACAAATGGATTGTTGAATCAAAAGAGGGTGTGTTGAGTACCATGAATCGAAAAAGGCTTAAATTGGTGACAAGAAGCTACAAGTCAGTTGTAGTAGCACCCAAATGACAAGAGTAGATTGTTGATGAGTAACCTGTTAAGAAGCTTAGCGATTAGAGGGGCGAACTAAATCATTTTGTGTATTATATTCATGAACAAAGAAATATGTTCCTGAACTGATGAGGGAATCTAATGTTGCAAATTTATGAGGATGATGGGAAAGTGGACTGATCATTTTTCTAATAAGGGTATAAGAACCAAGTGATGATCTTCATCAAGGTCTATGCTTAGATATAAACTCATGTCAACATGATAAAGAAGGATTTTGATTGTTGTATAGCAACTCCTATTGCCTTCCTAATGTACAGAAAATTGTGCATATGAAAGCTTTGCAAAATTAAACATGCATAGCAACACAAAGAAAGCTTAAAACCAAAACGCGCAGCAGTAACTAAAGTGCCGATCGAAGTAAACATTAACGAAAGAAAAGTAAGATCGAACCCTAAAATTCATGGCAATTACACAAAAACAAGGTATCTGCAACAAATTTTTCCTGAGATGAAAAGCCCCGATACTCCAGAGCAAAGATTCATCCAACGCTAACAACTGACCTAATCTAATATTTTATGAACCAAAATTGAAGAACTTTCTACTAAAAGCAAAAGGGGGCTGCTTTTTCACACGAAAAAACACGCACACAAAAATTGAAACCCTAATTCAACCATCAAACACCAACCACATATTCGCAACTGCATACACGACGACAAAACAAAGAATTCACCAAATAAACAACGATTAAATCGAAATTGAACCAACAGTACCGAACAACGATACAAACCCACTTCAGAAAACACATTAAATTGGAAATTGATCAAGTAATTGGCGTGATAATTGCATAAACTAATAGGAACGACGAATATCACCTCAAATCAAGAGCCTTCGTTCAAACCGGGGAACCAGAAGCAGGCGTATTTTTCTTTGAAACATACGATCAGTATAACTTCAAGGAATTTAAAGATTTGAGAAATATTGATGAGGATCGGTAGATCGCTCTCTTTCAAATGATTGATGAGGTTTAAAACGGAGAGCGACAGAAGAGAGAGAAGAAGAGCGTTGAGAGTTCTTGGCAAACGCATAGATATATACCCCACATCATACCAAGAGTTTACCGTTGAGGGTTCTGATGAAATTTCAGATAGGTACTTCACGTTACGGTAATCAATGAAAATGTCCCTTAAACAGGGTATTTTTTGTAAGTTAGATAAAGTTTTGGGTTGAAGATGAACTTATATCTATTCCTCCGTCGGTACAAAGCCAAAATAGAAATTAAAAATAAAACTAGAAAAGTGTCAGTGTCAATCACAGCTTGTTTTTAATTGGTTTTATTATATTTTCAATTATTGAATTTTGATAAAATAAAAGACCGCATTAATGATTTAATGGGATCCACTCCCCTCATTTTCAAATTCTCAATTATTTTATAATTAACGGATTTTTATACAATATTTATAGGATCAAAAGATATAGTTATTATTTGATTTATATTAAAAAAAAGTTATATGAATCTTATTATATAGTTAAATTAGACATTCAAAAATCATAAATAATACTAGACAAAACTAAAAAAATGATCCGGTAGTTTGCATTTTTTTTTTTTTTTTGATTTTGGTCAAAATCTTTATCTATTTGAATAAAAGGTGTTTTGGAATACGTTTATTTATAGATTTAGTTTTTGCATATGTATGTATTTATAGGTCTCCATCAAAATTGAAAAGTCTATTTTACTTTTTAATTTATTTTTCCATTATTTTAAAAGTTTTATAATTTTTATTTGATAGAAAAAACAAATTAAATCCCCTAACCCACCCCTACCCCTTTGTCCTTACCACTCGTATGCGTATGAAAAACTCAGATAAACACAAGCACACATAGATTTATGTAAGAACATAGATTTTGAAGATCAATTTAACTTCTAGAAGCAAAATAAACACATTAATAAACTAATAAAATGATTGATCTCCATCAAATAAAGATTTATACCCTATTGGCTCCCATACTAAAACAAACTAAATTAAATGTATACAAGCCAATTTATTTGCAAATATAATGTCTTTCTGACCTTGTATGACTATCATACATGGTTAATGACATTGGTTTAAATAATAAATCATCAAGATTCTTTTTTAATGTAACTCTATTGATAATGAAATCTTCACATTCGGCTAACTATCAAATGTGATTGTGTTTACTGAGTATATGTCATGTGAACTTGTGTGATTTGGGAATCTCACTAAAATAAATTCACTCTTATAGTCACAAGAAACTTCAAAAGGACCATGTGTAACATCCATAAAAATTCATAAAATTTAAAATTTTCAAAACTACCATTTTTCTGTAGAAGTGTTTACAAAAATCATTGTTCACAAAACATTATTTAAAATCAGAATCGTTTTCAACATAGTTTCCAAAACATTCGCATTATCAGAGTTTCCCAGATATCATAAGTCCAAAATCGTGAGGATATGTATGGTCACGCCTTCACCCTGACACAATCCATTGAAGTACCTGAAGCCATAAACCAAAACTGTAAGCACGAAGCTTAGTGAGTTCCCTCAAAATACCAACACACAACATATAACATATACCACAAACAACATGCATACAGAGCCTTCAACCTGTTTGTGTAACGCCCTTTTCCTGGTATGTATTTTTAATTATGAATTACTCGTTTTTGAAGGGACTCGACGAGTTGGAGGCCCCAAACTCATTGAGTATGAATGGAATTATTGGACACGGGACTTGAAGTCTACTCGACGAGTTGAGAGCCTCAACTCGGCGAGTAGGGTTGCCATAGTAAAACCCTAATCTTCAGGGTTTGCACCCTATTTAAACACTTTATCTGGCATCAACTACAACCTTCATCACTCTTAAACCTTAGTCACGAAACCCTAACCCGTTTTGAGTGTTCTTGAGGCATTGTTGTGTGTTTTTGGTGATTTTGAAGCTTAAGGAGGAAGAGGGAGTTTTGAAGGGTTTTGAGCATTCTAACAATCCTATGGTGTACATGCAACCCTAGATGCTTTGGATCTATATTTTCTCTAATATACATGCAAACTTTAATTTTCCAAAGCATTATCCTAACTAGCATACAATAGAGTATCTTTACTACAAAGTGCTAGTTAGATGACATACCTCTTGATGTAGTTGGAACATTGGACCTTTAAGAACTTAGTGCCCTAAGTGTTGCACCTCAAATGGAATCACAACACACCTAAGACAAAGGATAACTTTTGAGAGAGTTTCTTATGCTCCAAAAATCGGCTCATGAATTCCTATGATCACTAGTTCATATTTTTGGATGCTAAGGGGCTTCTTATATAGTGTGACAAGATTAGGGTTACACCATGTAAACCTTAATGACCATGACCTTCCATATTCCTTAGGATCCATGGGTTTAAACCTCCATGGATGATCCATGGGTTGTTACATGGATTTAGCCCAGCCTAAGGAATCATGGATCATTGGCCCACACCATAAGAATGAATAACTTACCAATCAACCCCTTACATTTAATTAGTCTCTACTTAATCACAAAATTAATTCTGAATTAATTCTTGATCAATACTAATTGATTAGTATGATTTCATATTAATATATTAGAACTTATAATATATTAACAAATCATAAATAACCTCTTCTCAAAAGTCTATCCTATCAAATTGTCCTTGTGATATGCAACCCAAATAGACAATGCTACTCTCCGGTCAAGTACATACCAATAATAGTTATGAGCTTAGACACCAAATCTAACAATCTCCCACTTGGATAAGTCTAATAACTAGTATTGCAAGCATGATGTAATGTCCGTGTTTCTGGGCTAAGCATTAATGATGATATAATAGTCTAGGTCAACCATTGGAACTCGTTTTAAAGTAATAAGAATGAGTTATGTGCTTTAAACTTAAATATTATGATTAAAGATAAAATTAAGCATCGAAAATAAATATTAGATAATGCTGATATCTATGAAGAAAGATGTAGTAGCTGAAACAAGGATTCCAAAAATATAAAGAATACCAAAATCTGAGCTATAACAAAGAAGTTATGACCTGTCGAAGTTTCGCGACAGAACTGGCACGACACTGTGTGACATAAATAGTGAATTTATGATAAAGTGATTTTTAGCCTTAGAGATCTAAAAAAGTTGTAGTTTTCGTTAAACCGAGAACGTGCATAAAAAGAACGCCCAAATCTCACATCGTATGAGGAAGTTATGATTTTTCTAAGTTTCAGCTTAGTAGTATGCAGTCCGAAACTCAAATTTTAGATCGAGTGATTTTTAACCAAAACAATCTAAACAAGAATCAAATAACTTGTTGATTTTAGTTTAACGGTAAAAAGACAGACGAAAATGAACGTCGTATGAAGAAGTTATGAATTTTTAACGGACTTTTCCTGTCCCGGCCTGTTAAAAATATAACTTTAAAAATAAAGTCAAAATTAGTCAACGGAATCTAAACGAAAGTTTAAGAGTATAGTCTCACCTACGCATGGATATAAAGAACATCAAAAACAGAGTTCGTATGCGAAAGTTACGAATTTTTGAAGTTTGGAAATGGGAGTACGTCCAACATAAGAAAGGAGTACGCCCAGCGTACTTGTGTACGTAACCCGGAGTCCGTCACCTCCCCTACTCCTTTGCAAGAATGCCACATGTCATAGCCTTGCTGAGTCCAAAGTTATCCCTTAATACGCCCCGCGTACCATGATGTACACCCAGCGTATTGCTTAAAGAGGGAGTACGCCCAGCGTACACTAAATTTACGCCCAGTGTAATCCGATGGTTCAGCCCCTATAAATAGCACCGGATGCCTTACGGATTTTGTTTAAAATTTTTAATCCTCTCACCCTATACTTTCTTCTACTTTGCAGAAGTTACCCCTAACCCTATTATATCATCCCCGACACCCGAAACAAGTCCCGGTGCTCTAAAAGTTCCCGAGAAAATTATATTTTCATGTCGAAACTCTGTCCGCGTGAAGCCTGGTTTTTGAGAAAACACTTCGGTTTCATCAGAGAAGATTATTTTAAGAGACGAGGTGCTGCCCAATTACTGTCTTATCATGTGAGTGTATAGTCACTTTCATCTTACACATAGATATGAAGTATTTTATATAAAATATGTGCTATGTGTATATATGTTGTTTGTTTATTTGAGATTGATATTGAAAGAATGTTTTATACAAGTTTTAAACTGTATATGTATTTTATATCTACAAATATGTTGGGTAAAACATGGGTAGATAAAGAATGAGGGATGAAAGATGATATAGATGTTATTTGCAGTTACGCCTAATAAATAACATTTGCAGTTGTGCCCAATAGAAAATAAAAGATGTTATTTGCAGCTACGCCTAATAAATAACATTTGCAGTTGTGCCCAATAGAAAATAAAAGATGTTATTTGCAGTTGCGCCTAATAAATAATAATTACAGTTGTGCCTAATAGAGAATAAATGATGTTATTCGCAGCTACTAATGTGTTTTATACAAACAATCCTATGTGTGCATGCAACCTTAGATATAGATCTATGTTTTCGCTATTAGTTATACAATATTATGAACACAAAAGAAACCTAACATGCTCCTAGCTAATTTCTAAAATCATAAAGGAGAATGAATTACATACCTCTTGCTGTTATATTGTAATAACAACTTGTATCTTGAATCTTCTTGTCTTTGAAAACAAGTACCACAAGTGTAGTACCTCTAATGGCTCACAAACACCAACAACAATTGAAGAAGCAAGAGAGAGAAGGGGAGAGGCAGAAAATCGACTCTAGGAACTTCTAGGATCAAGTGGTCGATTTTCTTATGCCAAGGGGCCTTTACACAGGTGTAGGAATTAGGGTTTCAGTCTTATCCTTATCTGATTGCTTGCCCACCAAGCAGTCTAAAGGATAACCCTAGAAACCTTATCAAGGACGACTTCTAAGGCCTTATCCCCTTGAATTCGTCCACCCTATCATATAGGGCATCCTTTTCCATACTTTTCAACTATCACATAATTATAGTTCAGTCCCCCTAGTTCAATTAACTTCTTTTGATCAGAAAATTAATCATGAATTAATTCTTGACCAGTGTTAATTAAACTATGATTTCTCTTTTAATATATTATTCTTATAATATATTAATAAATCATAATAACCTCTATCTCTATTATTTATCCAGTCAAGTTGCTTTGGTGAAG